AATTATTCTAAATCAATGTATTTTATAAAAATAATTGCTCAAAATCTATTTTACGCCAAAATAAATCAATTTGTGTTATTTCCAAGCGATTTGGCTCAATTTAAAGCTTGAAATCAAAGTATTTCAACAAAATTAATGTTTAAATAACAGTTTTCTAAAAATGTTGATAGTGTGAGTTCTACTCGAGGGTGAAGTCCCCAATAATTTTAACAAAACATTTGCGAGTCAGATAGTGTCTATAAATTTTGACAAAATCTGATAGTGTGAGTCTTCGACTAAATTTCAACAAAATCTGGTAGTGTGAAGTCTAAGCCACGAGCCCCCTAAAAATGTTGTGCTATTTCCAATCGATTTGGCTCAGTTTTAAGCCGGAAATCAACCTGAATCAAAGTATTTCAACAAAATTAATGCTTAAATAACAGTTTTTTTGTCAAAATAAAGCAATTTGAGTTATTTTCAATTCAATTTCGCTCGATTTTAACACAGAAATCATTCTAAAACAATGTATTTTATAAAAATAATTGCTCAAAATCCAATTTTAGGCCAAAATAAAGCAATTTGTGCTATTTCCAATCGATTTGGCTCAATTTAAAGCCTGAACTCAAAGTATTTCAACAAGATTAATGCTTAAATAACAATTTTCTAAAAATGTTGATAGTGTGAATTCTACTCAGGGGCAAAGTCTCCAGTAATTTTAACAAAATATTTATAGTGCCTATAAATTTTGACAAAATCTGATAGTCTTAGACGGGGACGAGCGGCAAAGCCGCGAGCCCCCTATAATTTCTACTTTCTACACAACATTTTCGAATCCGACAGGATTTGATATCAGTTTTTAGTTTAGTAACTAAACTGATAAGATCAGACCCTCTAAATAATCAATTAAAGAGCTACAATTTTGTGGTCAAAATGAATGTAGTTAAAGTTGCGTTGAGATATTTTAAATTTGCAGTGATGGATCACAATTTGGTGGTGAAGCTGTGTATTTTTGTTGTTTTTTATGAAAATTGAAAAACGCGTACATCGGTCCATAATTTGGTTTAAACAAATTATAGGCTCGTGCTTATTGTAGTAAATTTTTGAGTGTGCTTGATTTGGCGAGTGCAGGAGTGTTGTTTTGTGTCTAAAAGTGGAAAAAAGTTGGAGTCGGGGTGTGTATATATCAATCCATAATTTAGTTTGCAAATTTCGTTGTACCTGGCAATTTGATTTAAAACTAAGAAATTTTAGACGTCCATTCACCAAAATGCAAATGATGTCTTGTAAAATTGCGAACAATTTGCAAATTTTACGCATGCAGTCTCGAACATTAATTATATTTCAGAATCTGCAAATGATCTATTATTATTCTAAATAACGGTGTTGATTTTTGCAGTCTGAGTCGGTTTTGCCGAGGTTCCCATACTACACTTGAAACGTCGAATTATCTCAATTGAAACGTTTAATGCCGTTTGCCACCAATTAATCGCGAAAAAATGATTAAACCGGTTGCATGCTGATCGTGAGCGATTATCATTCAATGGAAATTGCACAAACACTGTAAATATTAGAAATGTGATTAATTCACGATTAAATTTTAAAAACCAGCTCCAAAAATTACATATAATTTAACAAATTCTTAATTGCTATATTCCGAGAAAGATCTGTAGACCCATGTCAAACTTAAAGCCGCCGGTCATACCGTGTTATTAGCGTGTCACACGTTGTATGGCTTTAAGAATATTCTCATCTTGTAATAAAAAAACTCACATCAAATCATCCACTAATCACGCATGCAGTGCTGAATTCCAAGCAATAAAAAATTCAAATCGAAGCGAAATTGTGGACATATGAATTATTCATTATGAACACTTTATTACCGTTGTAAAATCATTATTAAAAAAATTTATTGCCCATTATAATAACAATAATAATTTGATACGAGTATAGTTGCGAGTTGTATTCTGTAGTTCTTGGTTCGTATCGGCGCCAATAGCTGGCGCCAGCAATTCAATTTCCCGCTTTAGCAAAATTTGTGTCTTTTTTAATGAGGTGGGGAAGAAAACGCTCCGGCTATTTACATGGTTGGGAAACGACAAAGTGTCGTGTTTGTGTTGTGATAATTGTTTGGACATGCTTCGTTTATAATAATTTATTGTCAAGTGTGTCTACTTACCGTGTTTACTTATTATTATTATTATTACTTTTGTGATGATGGGGTGGGTGGTTAAAGTAAAGAAAGGGTACGACAGCTATAAGTTTAATGAAGCCCATAGGCGATACATAATGGTTACTGTACACTGGAGTGTGAATATGCAATATGCAATAACAAATAACATTTACAGAGGTGTGCTGTTTAAGATATTACAAATATAACATTAATTTGGATTTGAACGGTCACGGTTCAAGAGAAAATGACTTTTCCATTGAACGTGGAAAATAATTTGAATCGACAGAGGTTTTCGTATACATTTATGATAATTCTAGGGCAAATTTTTCACTAATGATAGTAAATATATACATCTATACATTCATAGGCAAGATAGCATATTTACAAAGTTATTGCACATTTAAATATACACGTTTGATTCTGAAGTTGTCACTGGTAGAGTGAATATTCATTTGCATGCATTAACAGTGAGTCAAGCACTGCCAACTGTCCAAACGCGGAAGCTTATATATGTTTAGCGAGATTTTAATTATCAATTTGGACAATTAACGTACTTGTGCAGTATTATCAAAATGAGCAATTGAAATATTCACATTGATAGCGCGATTTTTCTCTAACAGTTTACGAGACCACCTAATTCTATAAATATTCTTTATATACAATGAGTATTCATCAAGACTGGCTGATTTATAGGAAGTTGAAACAAGTAAAAATAAAAAATAAATTATATAAGCTGAACCTTAGACCTAATTATTCTAGTAATCACATATATGAAAACACCTAAAATTTGATAAGTACATCGGTCGATCACCACCACAGGGGTACAGTCCGCAAGTCCAGAAAATTACTTAACGGTCACGAACTCTCCGAACTCTTTCTCGACAAACTCACATGAAGGGATTCATTTTCCGCGTGCAAATTCCGCCGCGTTCGCGACATAAATACCTTATTACACCCCATAACCGTGCATTTAAACATTTCGGACAAGTGGTTACTTTCGCAATGTTCTTTCAATTGGGACGAAGTAGGAAACGGAGTTTTACACAGCCGACAAGGGAGGTTCCCGTCTTTATCCGGAGTTGGTTGGTCTTCGTCCACACAATGCGTGTATTTCAGCGAAACCGGCGGAGGAGGTGATCCAGAAACGGGCGAACTTGACCGCGATGAGCGCTCTTTCATCGTCGAAGACCCGTTGAACTGCGCAAAATGGTTGAAACTCCCCAACGGGAAGGGAATACCGCCGAGGGGGGGCAGCAGCAAGGGCGGATGGGGTATTCGATCACCATTGAGCATCAATTGGTCCAAATTCGGCGGTGGCAAGTGGTGGTTCTTGAGAGCTTCTTCTGCGTAAAGTCTTGTTAGGAAGTCGCCAGGGAGGGCGAAAGGAGACTTCTCCAGAAATAAACTCGCTGCCGACTTATCTGAAGAGGTAGATAATAACTTCCTATGTAAATTTAAATTTGCACTATGTCTGTCGCGACTCCGCTTCGAGGGGAACGCCGCGTTGCATCCGTCAACATTGCATTTGTGCATCAGTTTCAAATGCACGTTTTGGTAATGAGTTTTCACGCCGAAATGGTTTTGGAATATTTTCCCGCACGCGGTACACTTCCTCGGATTGTCTTTGTCGATAGGAACATCCATCCCGCTGATAAACTGGCCGTTGTCAAAGTGGCCAAAAAACTGGTTTTGACTGTTTTCGTCAGGGGATTCGGCGCCGTTGCTGCTGCCCGCGGAGGAGGCCTGCGACCGCGCGGGACTGGGAGGGCCGCCGCCCATCATGAACGCAATGGGGGGGAATTGCGGACCTTGTCCCAAGCCCAGATGAAGACTTTTAGCCATCAAGTCCCCAAAATGCCCATGAGACAAGCTCTCCAAGTGTCTCAAAGCGTTGGACGAGTCGAACGATTCGTCACTTTTGTTACTTTCGACCGAACTGGCAGGCCTCTCATCGGTTTCTTCTACTGGCTCTGAATCGTGCGATGGTTTTTCTTTTTTTAACTTATCGATCATGAATAAAGGTGCCAAACTTTTTTTTATTTCCGGACTTGCGATTTTTTCGGGTTCATTGGCATTGACGTCGGGACAGCGTTTTTCGAGGTTTAGCGGCGAGTTGCATTTTTCTTCGAATTTTTCTTCCTCTTTCCTTGTTTCGAGAAGACTTGGTGATCGTTTTTCGTGATTGGTTTGAGGTTTTTCGTTAAGAGGTTCGGAAAAAACGTCGTTTGAGGAGTCGCAGTCACTGACGGCGTCTTCCATCATTGCAGGTACAGCGCATCGGGTGGGGTTTTGACTTTTACGTTTTCTTTTGTTTGTTTGTACATTCGGTTCATCTTTGAGACTATGTGTGTCGACAATACTTAGGGAATCTTCGTTACTATCTAAATTACTAGTTATGTCTTCTTCTACATCGGAGACTGACATTTTGGGCCTTTTTGAAGGCATACTGAAATCTTCAGGTTGATCGGAGGAAACACCATTTGTGACTTCATTTTTTTCGGGTTCTTCTTCTTCGTCACCACCAACAACAACGATTCCGTCATCGTCTTCATCTTCTTCTTCTTCGGACTGGTGGTGGGTACCACCGACAAGTGATAGTGCACTGTAATCTTTAACTGAAGAATGTTTTCTTTCTTCTAATTTTTGCATGCTTAGGTCTAGAGTTTGTTTAAAGTCTATGGAACTTAAAGCCGTGTGGTGTCGGATATCTGGTGAAGGAGTAAGTAAAGGAAATGGTCCGAATGGATTGAGCGGATTTAAAGCAGCTGCAGCTGCTGGTAGTGAAAGACCGGTTTGGGGAGGTATTAGAAGAGGATGAGCTTGTGCACTTCTTCCATCATGAGGCGAAATTTTTCTACGAAGATGAGGTGAATGCAATTTTGGATTTGGATTAGCACTATGACGATTTCTCGACCTTCTTGAACTAAACATCATATTACAACCTTCAACTGTACATTTGTGCATTTCACGTAAATGTACAGCGGAGAAGTGAATTTTAAGAGCACCTTTGTCGCAAAACGTCTTTAAACATACGTTACATTGCACTCTTTTCTTCCCTGTAGCCGGGTTGATAAATTGCGTTCCTAGATTTAGAGGTAATCCCGGCGATCCCCATTGTCTTTTAGTAGGTGTTGTGGGTTTTCGTCCCGGGATTCCTCTCGGTTGTCTTGGAGCTTTGAGAATATCTCTATCACGACTTAAATTAAGTGCACTATAAGAGTTTTCGTCAACATCATCGTCTTCTTCACTATTATTATTGCCACTTAAAACTTCTCCACTTGGTGATTTACTTCTCGATGTCCTCGTTGACATAAGTCCCGGAAAGGACGATGCCACCAAACTAGCCGCCGCCAAAGGATTGACCGAAACAGCAGCCGCCATTGCCGCCGCGGAGTGACTCAACGATGGCGGCCGTGGAGGCGGCGGTGGCAAACACGAAGACAACGACGTTGCCATCGTCAAATTCAAACCGACGCTTTCACTTTCCGCTCTTCTTCGATTCATGTCGGGACTTACACGATTCGGAAAATTCGTAAGCCCGCCACCCAATTTACGGAAATCGAAAGGTTGCATGTTTTGTAGACGATTCAAAGGTGACGTGTTCAATGGACTAGTACTGACGCTTCTCGGAGGAGAGTTGGAGGGGAGAGGTCCGTTGGAGGTAGACATCTTCAAGAAATTTAAATGGTGTTTTTGATGAGGAGACATTGTCGGTAAACGAGACGGGTGAAAAGCAGATGGAACAGTTTGGTGGGACGGGCGATGGTTAGGTGACATCGCCCGACGAAGGTTTGGTGAGTGGCGGCGTTCTAGGCGCTCCAGTGTGGGATCCTGAAGTGCCTGCTGCGCCAGAAGCAATTGTTGCGTTATGGCTCGCGTCTCTCCAAACCTAAGGAACTGTTGGAGGACCAGAGGCTCCTCCTCAGGACTGCAGATACTCCATCGGTCCAGAGTGCCGCCGTGTGACTCCTGGAAAAAACACAACACTTCAAAATATGACACAAACCTCGGCAATAAACTAATCAAAACTTTTTCGCGTTTCCCCAAAAAATTTCAAAAAAACAAACAAATAAAAAATTCCTACAACAAATAAAGTAAAAGCCGTTTGAAACTGTTCCTGTGGAAAAGTATACAAATATTCGAACAATCCAATCCAAAATGACGATTTTTGGGTCCTCCACAAAATCTTAAATCCTCTGACATAATTTAAAAACGTACAAATTGTAGATAATTATTTTGTGATATAATTGAAACAATTTAGACAAAAACTTGTAATAATATAAATTAAAGACACTTAACTTAATAAAAAAAAACTTGTAAAAGTCTTCATCACAAAAATATTTGAATAAATTCTAAATTTACAATATTAGCTCCCAAAAATATTCCTACAACAAATAAAGTAAAAGCCACTCGAAACTATTCTTGTCAAAAAGTATACAAATATTCGAACAATCCAATCCAAAATGACGATTTTTGGGTCCTCCACAAAATCTTAAATTCTCTGATATAATTTAAAAACGTAAAAATTGTAGATAATTATTTTGTGATATAATTGAAACAATTTAGACAAAAACTTGTAATATTATAAATTAAAGACACTTAACTTAATAAAAAAAAACTTGTAAAAGTGTTCATCACACAAATATTTGAATAAATTCTAAATTTACGATATCAGCTCCCAAAAATATAAAAAGACGTTGAAATGAGTTTTATTCAAAAAGTAAAAAAAATATTTTGAGCTTTCCACAATGTTTTGAATCAACCGGTATAATTTTTTTAACTTTAAATAAAAAATTTATACAAAAAATGCAACAATCATTTATTTTAAAATTTACTTAAGCAAATAAAAACTTAAAATTGATAATAATAACCCAAAAAGAAAATGTTGAAAAAAATGGATGCAAACTATTATGTAATATTAATTTTAATTATAATAAAAAGAGCACTTTCTTATACGTTAAGAAAACTAGTGTAATAATAATTATTTATTAATAAATTTGTGCTTTTTTGTTCAATTCTTTTTGTTACTGAGAGAGGAGAGAGCATCAAATGTAGATCTTGAATCATCTGGTATATTTAAATGTATTTTTATTCCAATTAAAAATCAGAAATAAAATTTATTTAAAAAAATGTATAAAAAACACAATAATCATTTATTTTAAGATTTACATGAGAAAAAAAGAAGGTTGAAATAAAAATTGATGGAATATTTGAATATACCTACTAAAAAATTTAAACAAAAATGATTATTTACGATACAAGCCTCGCAACGATTTGGCATTGAATACAATATTTTACCTACTTTTAATATTTTTAATATTAAATAAAAAATACTTCCTGTAAAAATGCTACAAGCAGGTGGCATTTTTTACAATTTTGGTTAGAATTTGAAATTACATATTTTATTTTAGTTTTTATATTTCGGTGTCACAATGAGGATTTTGTGTTACTGAAAATAGTTGCAATTTTGTGACACTTGGCCCATAGACTGTCTTTTTTAAGTGAGAAATTGTTACAGTTTAACGTTTTTCTCTGAAACTAATGTAATTTAAGCTATTTTCGAGCAATTTAGGTACCGCATACGATAATAAATTTAATTTAAAAAACGCTCAATAGAAAAAATAATACAAAAATGACAACCTCTAACTGTGATACTCGTGCTCGTGCATTTGTAACACTTGTTTTTTAATATACTATTACCTCACTATGAGTGAATTACAAAAAATCATAATTTTTTTAAAATTCTTAATAAAAAAATGGAATTTCAAGCAAAATAAAAAACATGGAAAATGTAATCAAAAAGAAGTTCAATTCTGATTGTTATGTAGTGAAAGAGAATGTAAATCTTGAATCATCCGGTGTATTTGTAACTGCTTTTAGTTTGATTTGAAATGACAAATAAGTGAAAATAAGGAAAGAGTGAAGTCAGGGTTGGACTCAAGTCGGTGGCAATGCTCCAGGTTTCGTAGTAGAGTTCGCAAATTGATCTGATTTGTTTTGGCTCGTGCAGTCGATTGCAAGAGGAACAGACACGAAATGTATATTTTATGAAGGCGATGTATAAAAATATCGAGCTTCGATGGCATTCTTGTTTAGAAAGGAAGCCTGCAGAATGTCTCCCGCGCGTTTATAAATAAACGGGGTGATAGTCACCTGCCCCACTCAAGTTCAATCTACTGCAAACAAACACGCGGTACCAACACAAGAGGACGCTACGATCCTTTCAAACCGTATAATCGAGCAATTTCGAGTTGTGTTAGCCGTCGGTCCGGGATTTTACACCAATCAAATGACAATTCTCTCCGATTACTAACGGGGCTAGTTGGATTAACAAGTGAAATACTTTTATTTATTTTCTAAATCGTAACAGATGTTATTAACAATAACTGAATTCACCGTTTCGTGTTGTTAATTAGACGAAATGATGAAAATTGCTTATACATATTTTAATTAAACCTGTTCTCAAATTTTTAACAATTGTCCCACTTGTTTCTAATTGGATAAAATTTGACTACCGTTTCACTCTAATCATCTCAATCAATTTAAAAGTTTTATTTTAATTGATTCGTTGATGTCACTCTTCCGACGCTCAAAAATCGGAAATTCGTTTTTCCGAAAATTTCGCTCCAAGGCTTGGAAATTAATTGGCTGCGTTCTAACGGCACGTTTGTTGGATAAAGTTATGAATCAAAATAGACGCGTGGAATGCAAACTATAGCTTTATTTGCATTTTGAACTTGACACTAAATTCAACAAACACACAACACTCGGTAATTTAAAACAATAATGACTAAACTATGGTAGGTATAGTGAGATAGAATCTTAGACAATTCCATTTCTCAATACTGTCCGTGATTCTATATTGTTTACGTTTTTTATTAAACTATTGTTAGAGTTCGTAACGGCAAAATTGACGTGGGTGTAAAATTAGAAAAACGTTTGTTTAAATTGTGGCACTCGAGTAGTAACTCTAGTAAGGTGCTAATGCATTTTCTGTAGTTGTCACACCCCGGCTCTCAAATTGTGTAAAAAGAGATGTAATTGGAAGTGGAAATTAAATTTGTGTATTGTCGCTAATTTAGTTTTTTTTTTTTTTGGAGTCACAAATCTTGTAAGTGTAATCCTAATAACTAATGTCTTGTTTGCAATGGACTAAGTTTCGGTTTAGAAAAAATATTTAGGATGATTATAGGCATCGAAATGGGCATTTAATGATAACCCAGCTATTACTTAAGAGAATGTATTATTAAATACGAGATCGGACATTAGAGTATGGAGGATATCAGACAAAAAGAGGATCGAAAATGGCCGTTTTCAAAATTATAGCTAACTAAAAATTATTGCGTCTCGCAAAAATGATATGCAAAATAGTATATAATTTGAGTGTCTGTGATTTCGAAGAGAGGTGCACGAATGTCGGTAGCGCGATTTAAATTTGAAATTTTAATAAGTGTCGGACCGAAACGCATTCGTGCCAAGAAATTGCTTTACTATGCGTTTTGTGGTCCGGTATTGTGTAAAAAAACGTTTCGATTTTGAAATGAATTAAAAGACAACATCAGTCTAGTGAGCTGAGCGTCGGCAGAAGCAAAGGTGTGCACTAAAGACAGTCGGGAAACAAGCGAACGTCGGCAGAACCCAGAACCCAATTTGGTGTCATGATAAGCAAAAAAATCCAATTTTCGACGGCAACTTTTTTTTGTTAGAATATGACATTGGGTTATACAAGGGACGCTAATAAGCATTTGAGAACGTGTGTCAATCATCGTTTTTGTATCGATTTTGATCGTCAACTCGTTTTCAATACTGATGACTACGAAGCACATACCGAAAAACTCACTATTATATCCCATTTCACACTGTCAGTGGACTTAATTGAGTCCAGATCAATTGACAATCATTCGCCTTTTCTCAGCCTGACCATCGGCTTTATTCTCATGAAAACGTTGCCCAAATTACACGTTCCTCACCTCACCGCGTCAAAAAACCACTTGGTGACACTGTCCACTCACTGTCATCATCTTTACCAAAATCACTATCACTAGCACATCAAGAACCACCTATGCGAAAATCGACTAGGCCCTACCCGGCCGAAAAGTGTGAAATGCCAAGCTTAGGTGATAATGAAAGTAATTAACGAGCATGAAATACCTGCAGTATATATCCTCTTGTGTAATCTTCGGCGGTCCAGCCAAATCCATGCAACACTTGAAGCACTTGCTCTTTGCGAAGCACCGAAAACAGTCTATCCAGGAGTATTTTAAGGCGAATTGGAAGGGCTTGACATCCGTAAAGGACTAAACTAGCGATGTCAAACGCGGCATAAACTTGCACTGGTTCGGGGGCACTGTTACTGAAGAGATGTCGCGTTCCCAACTTGTCCAGTGCTGTAACAAAAGTGGGGATAAGTTTGCGTGCGCAAACGGGGAGGAGCCGACTCCTTTGGGGGGGTGCCAAGGTGGACGCACGGTCTAGGTGACGATACCCCTTGAACGGGCATAGTGGGACATGTATTGCACCCCCCGTCATGTGCTGTCCTATCGCTTCAAACGAGGAATTCAAACGCTATCTTACTTTGACCATCTCACGATACGGATACGGCTACGGCTACGGCTACGGCTACGTCCAAGACTTCTTTCTTTACAATACCAGAGAACATATATCAGAAACTTGTTAGCTGCTTTATTATCTGCTCCATCTTACTACACTTGAAGGATACTATTATCCCACACCAAACTCACGAACGACAGTTTTGTTTGTACACCATCTCACCCATTTTTTACTCTTTAATTAACCGTTATTTCACCACTTTAAAACACACTTTGTTCATTAAATATTCCAAAAATAATATTTACATTTTTATACCGACCTAAAGATAGCAACTATTTAGCTAATAATTTATTTTGCTGATCTCAATTAAATTTGCTCTTTCAACCTTATCACTTATTTTTACCAAACTCCAGACCAATTTCAATAAAAATTGTAAAAATATTTACTATTAATAATATTAATAATATCACTTTACATTATTGACTACACTAAATAAAAACAAAATGATAAATATTGATCAAAATACCTATTACTAAACTTTACTTCAAAGATTTCAAAATAACAAAATACCTATTTTAAATTATCATATAGGTTTGTCAAGTACTTTTTCTAAACTTGTATTGAAAAATGCAATGTCAAAGACCCATTAAAAACAGAAAGTAATAGACTAGGTATAGGAATAAGAACAAAAGATCTTGAAATTTTAAGGGTAAAAGGCGCACAAATTTACTTGCCTATTTCTAGGCAAACAGAAACAATGTCAAAGTAAATATTGTTTTGAATTTTATTATAGTCGTTTGGTATAAAATTACTCACTTCTACTGTTTATGAAATTATCAGCTACGAAAAACAAACGGAAAACGTGTGGTTTGAATTTGAACAAGGCGTGTAATTATTTAAAAAGGAGCTCCGCCTATCTAATTTCGGCCATTTATCCCTTGGTAATTTTTTGGAAAAATGTGGTATTATGTCATTTGTGACGTCGGAGTAGTGAAACATCTAAATATTGATATTATTATCTTGAGATTTCCCTAATAAAAATTGCACAAAGATAAAAATGGCATTTTTGGACCAAATTCCACGGTTATCAAATCATGACATACCATTATTAAAAAATTTCGTATATATTTTTCCGCTGAATCAGAGTAACAAGAAAAACAATATTTAATTAAATATTAAACCGAAAAGTGAAGACGACATGATTTGCGCTTTTTCGACTTGGAATCCCTTTTTTCAAAGTTATTTGAATAACTTGCGGCTATTTTATTTTCGAATCAGTTTGACGTTTCGCTTATTATTATGCATTAACAAACGTCATGTTTTTCATATTCAAATGTCACATCTCGGATAGATAGATACATTTTTCAGTGTTCTACTTTAACTTCCGAAGAAGATTGCCGTAGGCGGACGAAACGTCAGGTACTAATATTATCAATGTTGCAAGCCGGAAAACAACACATTGAAGTGGAGAAAAAAAAGCTTATTAGAAATGTGACACGGGTTGATTGGTGTAGGGGGAGGTGGGACCAGGAGAGTCGCGGGATGGAGCGAGTAATTAAATTTAACATTTCTAATAATTTATTTACGTGAGAAACAATTACAAATTGTATCTACTACTACAATTAATCACTTTTGAAAAGTAATCAATTACAGGTAATCGATAAGCTAACAACACTTGTTCAATAATTATTTTCCTAGTTTAATTAACATTGTTAAATACAAGATTGTTGATGTTTAATGCAATAGGTTTTTAAACAAGTTACCGAATCGGTCCCAAATCCGGTCGTGTGATCTGAAAATATTAGAATCTAACGGCTTTACTCGGGGCACAAATTAATTGTTTACTTAAGGGTACCCTCGACTGCGTCTAATTATTCCCGTCCCCGATTAGCATTTCCACTGTCACATTAAAAAAAAATGAAACGGGAAGATTAATTGGTCATTACGCATTGTACTTTTAATTGAGGATATAAAAACTGAGACAATTTTAGCGGTATTTTAAAGAATAATACATTTCATTATATGCTCGAGTTCACGCTTCAAGTGAACCTAGTTAATAAGTTTCACACTCGACAGATGGCGCCACTTACACAACAACAGCCACTACCGCCGATTTTTTATCAAGTTAATCACTTCGAAAAACCTAATTTGTAATAATAAAGATCAGCTGCATCGCCCCGAACGAAGCGCGCCAACACCACGCCAACTCAAGTGGACTCAGGTCGGCACACCAAAACGGATCAAAAATTCTTACGCAAGTCGAGCCATCCGCTCGCTGAAAGTTAATAGTTTTCGCAACTTTCATCGATGGATTACATGTTAATGGGCTCAAAGCACGGTTTCTAATCAGATAAGCGAGACCTGCTGAGTGCTAAATTCGTTTGATTAGAAATAATAGCAATAAAAATTTCTTTCAAACACTTGATGGTTCTGGTTGTTAATGTATGGATGTGTGAAGGTAGGTTAGTAACTTTATGTGGTAGATAATGTATTCAATCTGACTGGTAAAGCGTTACTCGAATAACTAAATTAGCACCAAATATTTGTTATTTTTCGTCATTTATTATAATTTAAATGGCTTGTAGTAAATAAAATTTGGTGATCTTGAATGACACGACCACTATTAGCATTTTAATATAATGGCAAGCTGTCGACTGCGCCACAGGTGTTTGTTTATTTAATAAATAATTCTAATTTGTTTTTGTATTAATTATTAATAAGGCGAAGAATTAGAGTCTAATAAGTTAGTGCACGATTGATTGTTGTTTATTTATCATTTAGTGTGGAATATGTGTTTGCGGAAAGAAAAAATAGTATGGATATGGATGGTCGTATTTTATTTAGACTATAACCATGCGTCATGGGTGGGCCAACCGACAAAGCAACTTAAATGCATTAGGATACAATTGCTTAGCAGGATACCAGTAAAGCAATGGTATTCTTATTCCAACTTTACATTATTGACAAATAATAGGGTTGTTACACTTGTTTTAAATAATAACTAGCTGTTTAATCAATCGTGTAATTGTAATCCTTTTTCCGAAAGAACTTTGCCAAAGTTAATTCCATACAGGTAGCCCGAAAACAAATACGGATTGACAGCTGCCCAAACTGATTTACTACTGACAGTACCACCACGAATTCTCAAACATTATCATTTCTTATTACTCAACGATAGCCTTTATTTATTTTGGATACACGCAGATAACTCGAGCAATTAATTTAATCGAATTGACACATACATCAATTGATAAATGTACTAAATGACTCATAATAACAATCCCCATGTGCATTCGACTTTTCTATTTCAACACCGACTTCTCAAATATTAATCACCGCAAAGAAAAAGATGGAAAACGTCGTAAAATTGTTTATTAGACCGCTGTGAATGCCTCCATACAACTTTCATTATTTTAAAGGAGCCGGCCGTAAACTTGTACAAATTTTGTCTTTTATGATTTATTAACTTTATTAAAAAACGACACAAAATCTAAAATAAAACCATAAAACAACAAACCAAGCACGGTTTTTCGAATTTTCTCATCATGGTGACACCACAACAAAATCTTGTTCTGAAAATGTTTAATTTATAACAGGAATAAACTAAAAAATTAGAAAATATTTGAGTGTTTTATTGTCACTTTCAAATTTCAAACCTAACTCTTATTTTAGACAGAAATTGCTCTGTCTGTAATGTCTAGATTAAGAAATACAAACATAGTATACATAGGTATACTATGTTACCTATGTTACCTATACCCCTACGTAATAAATTCCCTACTGTATCACCTTTTTTATCATAGATACAATTCCCTCTATACAGGGTGTGTCAGAACTCGCGCTCCAGAGAAAAATTTCATGTAAGATAAGATACCAGTAACATAAAAAAATATTTAAAAACTTCTATTTGTCAAAAAAATTTGACATTAATTTTTTGACATTTGACATTTTTTATGTCTATTTAATAATACCAATGATTTTGCGCCAGAACTCTCACCCCAGAGAAAAATGCCATGTAAGGTAGGAACTTGGAAAAATATTTAAAAAATTCTATATAGAAAAATTATGAAGTTATGAGAGTTTAAATTTTGCACTTTGACTTTATTTCTGTTAGAAAAATATTTTTTTGCTACAGGCTAGTAGAAGAGGAAACAAGGAAGCTGTATCCTCAATTGTAACTCTTTTTAATGTTATTTATAGCTTTTATTGTCAAAATTTTTGACGTTTACTAAATAATTATAAAAAACATATACAAGATCATCAGTATCATTAAATAGACATAAAAAAGTCAAATGTCAAAAAATAAATGTCAAATTTTTTTTCATGTTCCTGGTATCTTATCTTATTTGAATTTTTTTTCATAATTATTTAGTAAAGGTACAAAAATTTTGCCAATAAAAGCCACAAATAACATTAAACATAGCTACAATTTAGGATACAGCTTCCTTGTTTCGTTTTCTAATAGCCTGTAGCAAAAAAACTTATTTTTCCAACAAAAATAAATAGAGTCAAAGTGCAAAATTTAAACTCTCATAACTTCGAAATTATAGAATTTTTTCAACATTTTTTTATGTTCCTGGTATCCTACCTTTCATTTCTCTGTATTTCATGTAAAATATGCTAAAAACACTTTTTCATTTATTATAATTAATTTTTCAAAATTTTTACATATTTGTTTTTCTGATACTCGTAAATTACGTAATATTTTCATAATAAAAAACTAAAAAACTTGCGCAAAAATAACCAAAAAAGGTGCAATTTTCTCAAAATCTCGCTAATAAAAATTAAACAAAGTTTCAAAATATTCTTCAATACCTACCCCAAAAAACTTTTGTAA